TACTGCAAAAACGCTTGATTTCGCACGAGCACACCCGGTGCATGTCGCTAATGATTTACATATTCAACTGTTATCAGGCCTAACACAGTGACAAATATCCCGCATTCTTGTGCGGAAAGTCCAGAATTCGACTAGCCAAGGTCAGTCCCTCTGCAGTTCGCACATTCGATAAGTTTGTACTGGGCATGTGCCTGTCAGCTTGTTTCTAAGCAGCTTTTGAAAAAGAGGAGCCATCGACAACCTTGCCAGCTGTTGACTGTTACTGGCATTTGTTACTACTCGAACTGTCTTTCACAGAACAAGCAAGCGGAGTGACTTTGATATTTTCAACTTTTTGAAAAAAAAAATTCGGGAAATCGAAATTTTTGTTTTACTTTTTTGGAATGTTTTTTTTTCATTCTTCTCTTTTTCAACAACGCTTTTTGTGTCTGTTTAAAATCTCGAAACCAGCCGTTAAAACTAGCTCCATATGGTTTGTCTGCTATACTGAAAAAGCTTTTCAACCACCTTTTACTATATTCATTTAAATTTTTTCAGGTTTGAGAAAAATCACTGCAAAAGGCGAAAAAATTATGTACGATATTGCTCCGAAAATAGATGGTGCTGTGTTTCCTGGTCTACAGGGAGGGCCGCACAACCATACGATATCTGGTGAGTTGATGTTTTCTGTATCATATTCACGTTTCAATTTTTTTCGCAAGGGCTCCCTTTTTGTTGGAAAACCCGCTTAGCACTTGTTTTTCGAACAGAAACTAACAAAAATACCACAATTTATTAGTAAGCCTGCGGCCACGGTTGCATTTTTTGAGGCAAATTAATGGCAATTTTTACTCCCTGACATTTGCTAGTACCAATTTACCACCGATACGAATTAACGAATCGTAGAGGGATTGATTGTCTTCTTGGCGGAGTCAAACTCTCATGCTGGTCACATGTTGGTCGAGGACGCTTGATCTGCCATCACATTTAGCTCTGCTTCATCACTGATTATAAGGACTAAAAAAAAAAAATCAAGTGTTTGCGACGGAAAAAAATAGGAAAAAGAGTTAAATTCTTGAGAAACTGTGAACTAAATGGAAGGATCAAGTGAGAAGAGACGACAGATGACAGGTAAAGAAAGAAGAGGTTAGGGGAATTAGGTAAATTGAAATCTAAGAAATTTCGGTCCATCAAGTTATGAACGTATTAACTCAGTTGAGGAACTAAACTATGAACTACAGCCGATTTTCGTATCCAATCAAATCACAAATTTTGCGAAGTAATTTTGATGATTGTTAACACTTACTTATACAACCTGTTTCAGCTATTGCTGTTGCACTGAAGCAATGCCTGACAAAAGAATTCGTCGATTATTCCAAACAAATTTTGAAAAATTCCAAGGCCTTAGCAAACAGACTGATTGAACTTGGTTATACAATCGTCACAGGTAGATATTTTCTGCTTGTTTTAAGATCGTGCGGTCAATCGTGTGCATAGACGGATCCAGGACAGACCCTTAGGTGAAGTGGGACAACGAGCGGGAAAGAGGGAGTGGGGCTTCTGGCGCAACGACCACGGCGAGAGGGGACTCAGGCCTCTGGGAAACCGACAGGGGGAGGGGGAGGGGGGTTGCTGAATAGAGTTTTCTTTAATTTTGTCTTTAAACCAGGACTTTTGTAGCACTACTGCAACCCTCCTTCCCTCCGCCCTCTCCTCCTTCCCCCACCCCCCTGTCCTCCCCCCGCCCTCCCCGAGATCCGTCTATGATCGTGCGGGTTTTTCGCGTTAGTGCTATTACCGGGATGTTCCTACACACGCAGCGCAGTTGTGCTGGACACATCGGTCAAGGGTAAAAGCGGTTTTGATGGGATATAGCGGTTTGCTTGAATACTGTGATGTTGATGTGCTTCCCCTAAGCATAGGATTTTGTCTGTGCAGGGTTTTAAAGTATAGAAAATTTGGTTCAGGCGGAACAGATAATCATCTGTGTTTGGTGGATTTACGCCCCAAAGGTTTGGATGGTGGCCGAGTGGAGCATGTGCTTGATTTGGCTCATATTATATGCAATCGTAATACTTGTCCAGGTAAAGCTTCGGGAATTCTTCGCTGTCTCTTCAAATTGACAATTTAATTGGTTCGAATCACTTCTGCTCTTTTTTTTGCGTTTTATTCTGTTACTACTATAATTGGGCTAGCTATAACTAATGGCTAGGCCCTTGAGCTATGTAGCTGACAACTTCTCAGGTCATTTTGATCAGTGCTGCAACTGCTAAGCCTGTTCACAATCTTAACGTTCGTTTCGTCTCTTGAAGGAATTACCAACCCAGTGCTTCTTCTGACATAAGCACCTGGCAAGATTTTAGCAGCCGTTTCGAGCTGTCGTTGGTGTAAGATTGAGCTTCATCGTCACTTCAGATTTCTCATGTCTCTAGATCATAGTGCGACATTTTAACAATCGGAAAGACTACGCATGTGATAGTAATTAGTTCATGATCGCGGTTTATTTAATTATTCTAAAATGCTTGCCTAAAATGTGTATTTTTTTTTAAAATATTAGTTTATTTTTTTTGATTTAAAACTTTAGCTTTTTTATTTAGTTTATCTTAAAATTGCGGTCTATTTGATTAATTTAAAATCTTCACCTAAAAATGTATTTATTTTATTCAAAAATGTTAGTTTTTGCCTTTTGTTTAAAATTTTAGCTTTTTTATTTAGCTTATCTAAAATGTTTTAGGTGATCGAAGTGCATTGCGACCAGGTGGAATTCGTTTAGGTACGCCAGCTTTGACAACCAGGGGCTTGACAGAAGAGGACTTCGTTAAAGTTGCTGATTTTATACACAAAGGTATGAAAATTTTTGCTCAAAAAGGAACTTTCTAACAAATTTGCTTCACTTGGCAATATTTCTGGGACTTCATGGTATTGGTTTTTTTTGAATTTCTAATAAATGCGCCAAATAAAATCGTATTATTGCAGGGGTGGAAATTTTATTGAAATATCAATCAAAAACTGGTAAAACGCTGAAAGATTTGAAGGCATTTACGAGTTCGGATGCTGAATTCAAAAACGATATTATGAAATTAGGCGAAGAAGTTCAGCAATTCACAAGTCAATTCGACATACCCGGAAATGAAGATATTTGAAGGAAAGGTTTTTTGCCTATTGAAACTTGTTGCAAATGTTTTTATTACTGGTTAGATCGAAAAAATTTTGAGACACCCATGTTCTCAAGTCTAACTCAAAGCCCCTCCCTGTAAGTACTGGAAGCACTCGGCAGAAGCCTGACCGATAGAAAGTACTATATTTTTAAACATATCAAATTATTTACTGGGCAGAAAACGTCCAAGAATATCGGTTCAACCCCTAAATTTATATAAAATCATGCCAATAATTTTAGAAGTAATTTTTTCGCTTTTTTCCGCAAATTTTTTGACAAAAAAGTGGTTTTTGTTAGAAACTCTAATATTTCGCCACGGATGCAACTGGCAACTTCTCCATTCCTATACGCTTTTTCGAAAATCAGATATTTTGTTTACTTTGACATTTTGTTCAACAATAATGTTAATTCGCTGTCTGTTTCCCAAGCTGTATTCAGTTGGCAATTTTTGCGAGCTGTTCTGATCATTGTGTTGCACACTTAGTGCTTAGCTGCTGCTGCTGTCGATTCCGGCATACAAAGGTGATCACTAATTTTCCCATTAAAGTCATGGCAGGGAATTTGGGAGCATTTTTTTGCCTTTTTTTGCGGATTTTTTGACGAAAAAAATGCTTTTTGATAAAAACTCAAATAGTTCGCCTCAGATGCAACTTGCAATTTTCCCATTTTTTTTAACGGTTGATGTGCACTGAATTCGTTGATGTGCACTGAGAGTATCACCATTTTGTCTCGAACACTGCCATTCCTGTGCCAAATGGTATCGTCAACGATTTGGAGGAGAACGAGGCAAAAGTATGATTGACATCTTATGGCTTATTTTTATTCCTTGAAAATTTATTACTCGTTTTTAACGTAAAATTACAACGCATTTATTGTATATTTTGCTGCATCTCTCTGTATTTCATATCGCTTTTACTGTTTTGCCACATTTCATATTTTTCGATTTTTTTAGGCTTTTCTTACTAACCATGCGATTTTTGTGCCTTCTTCTTATGCTGCCCCTCAATTTCACTTCAGGTTTTATTGCTTTTTCTCAACAACAGCACTTACAGTTTGTGTG